TGTTTACCTTTACAAATTCTATACTATGGGCATAATTATTAGGCAAGTTGTATTTTGGAGGATTAATTTTCTAAATGAAAAATGAAAATTTGAGAATCTCAATCGTTTATTTACATCTGTTAAAATGAGAATAATAAATAACTCAAAATGTACAAATAAACATTTCTGACATTTCAAAAAAAAAAAATCAGTGACCAATATGGCCATCCTTTTTTTTCAATAACAGTCATAAACCTTCCATTCATGGAATTTGTCAGTTTCTTGATCTCTTGACAATCAACATTTTGGTGCAGTAGCAACCATAACCTCTCAGACACTGTTCAGAGAGGTGTACTGTTTTCCTTCACCATAAATCTCCTGTTTAAGAGTGAAGCAAAAAATGTCCAATAAAAACAGTGCTTTTTTTCTTTAAAAAAAAAAAAAGTGCCGGAACTCACACACATCATACAACCTACCTTGCCTACCCTACAAGGTTCCATCCAAAAAAGGTGCCGGAACTCCATTTTGGGTGTTCTATGAGAAAAAAAGGTCCTGAATAAAATTATATTTTCATTATTATTGTTACAATATCTCATGGTCACGTGATCAGGATTTGATACTTTCCCTGATGGCTTCTCATAAGCAAATGGGAATCACATGAAATCCTCACTTAAAAACTCAGGTTGTCCTTAATGACAGTAACAGGGCTTGACTGTCAAGATCCTTGCTTTAGAACAGCCATGCTGCTTCTAGCTTGCCTACAGTCCTGGAAGAGGGGGGAGAAGATTTGGAGTGCACAGGTGATTGCTATCAGTGTGACAGCTGAGGTCATCAAAGAGATGTTTTGGTGAATAGAGGTTCTCTTCTCATAACAAATGTTTGAAGACTAATTGGACAATATGACTGAACTGTCCAGAAAGGGGAGGGAAGGTTTCACTCTTTCAGTTAACTTTTTCCCACCATATTGCCAGAGCTGGTATTCCTTATATCATGCCAGGATGCTTTGCCTAATAAACGATTACATTAGAGATCGCAAGGTATCTGGTGTGTTTATTCGTTGGGTTTTTCAACCGGAACTATGATATTACCATTGTTATGCAGAAAAAAATGTATGACATCATACTGAGACTTATGTGAGGAGCTGTGCTACTTGTGCAGCCAGTAAAAGACTGGCAAGTAAAAGCTCAGGAATGTTGCAGCAGGTGGCTGACCTGACTAGACCTGGAGAGGAGATAGCTATGGATTTTATAGTGGTGTTGCCAAAGAGTGGAGAAAACATTGTGATTTGGACTGTAATAGACCTATTTTCCATTGCATGTTCTGGACTCCCCTCAGCCCAGAAATTAGAAAAGATTTTTTAAAACACATCTATCAGCTGCACAGAGAGCCTAAGTGCATCATCTCTGATCGAGAGGTCCAATTGATAGCTAAGTTCTGGAAAGAGTTTGTGAGGATGTTTGGGTCCTCCCAGGGATTTAGCTCAGCTATTCATCCAAGTACAAATGGGGCCACAGAATGAGCTAAACATTTGACATTTAAAAAAAAAAATCAGTGACCAATATAGCCATTCTTTTCAATAACAGTCATAAGCCTTCCTTCATGGGCTCTGTCAATTTCTTGCTCTGTTGACAATCAACATTTTGTGCAGCAGCAATCACAGCCTCCCAGACACTGTTCAGAGTGTATACTATTTTCCTTCACCATAAATCTCCCATTTAAGAAGGGCCCACAAGTTCTCAATAGGGTTTAGATCAGGTGAGGAAGGGGGCCATGCCATTATTCTTTCATCTTTAAGGCCTTTACTGGCTAGCCATGCAATGCTTCGATACATGCGATGGAGCATTGTCCTGAATAAAAATCATGGTTTTCTTGAAAGATTCAGACTTTTTCCTGTAGCACTCTTTGAAGAAAATGTCTTCCCAAAAAATGGCAGTAGGTTTGGGACTTGATTTCAAGTCCATCTTCAACTCGAAAATGTCCAATTAGCTCATCTTTAATAATACAAGCCCATATCAGTATCCCACCTTCATCTTGCTGGCATCTGAGTCTAAGTGGAGCTCTGTGCCAGTTACTGTGCCAGAGGCTATCAATTTGGTCAAGAGTCATTCTTATCTCATCACTTCATAAAAATGAAAAATCTGTCTTCAGATATTTCTTGGCCCAGTCTTGCCATTTCAACTTATATGTCTTGTTCAGTGATGGTCGGGGTTCAGCCTTCCTTACCTTGGTCATGTTTCTGAGCACTGAAGACCTTATACTTCTGGGCATCCCGGGTAGATTGCAGTTTTGGAATATGACAGCACTGGAGGATAATGGATTCCTAGTATTTCAAGCATGATTCTTCTCAAATCTTTGACACCTAATGTATGGTTTTTTTTTCTCAACACATTTCTTGCAATCCTGTTGACTATTTGCAACAAAACAATTGATGGTTCTTTGATCATGCCCCAATATCTTAGCAATTTCAAAAGTGCTGCATCCCTCTGAAAGACGTTTTACATTTTTTGACTTTTCATTCAGTTAAATCTCTTTTATGGACCATTTTCCTGAGGAAAAAAAGCTGCCTAATAATTATGCACACCTTGATATAGATATTGATCTCCTTAGACCACACCCTCTCTCATTACACAAATACACATCACCTGATCTGCTTATGTCCACTAAGCATTCAAGTTTATACAGCTTGGAGGTGGAAAATATGCATGAAAATGATCATATGGTCAAAATACTCACTTGCCTAATAATAGTGCACACAATGTAGTGCATACTAACTCAATCAGCACCTCCTGAATTAAGGTACAAATCAGAACACAGTCATCCTTTAGACTTCAAATATAGCTCTTTTAGGTCAAAAAATACATTTCGGTGCCTGAATTTTGCACCGGAATTAATTTCCCATGGAGAATGTTTTTGGCAGTATTTAATCAGGTTAAAGAGATGAAGAATAGTGGTTAGTCCTTATTTCTATTTCCACAGTTCTGAAAATGAAGAGGCCATAGATATTTACTACAATATTTTGCCTGATTTTTAAAATTTTCCCTCCTCTTTTCATGTCCTTCCTTTTTAATAATTACATCTGATGAAAAGTGCAAGAAAGCTCAAAATTTTTCAAACTATTATGTTCTGTTTCAATTTTCTAACAACAGATTTTGTATTTAGAATTAATTACAATAGAAAACTGAAGCAAAACATTTCAAAACAAATAAGGAATTTTGTAGAAGGTTGCTTGTCAATTCTAGCAAGTGATCTTAAAATTTAACATTATCATTCTAAGGCTACGAGTTCAACTTCTGGTGACTATATGGACACATTCATGTTTTTCCCCCCACAATGATACTAAAACGATTTACCACTGTCTCCTTCCAGAAACAGTTTTTAACCTTCCAATCTAGTTTACATTTTTGAGATTTTCTAGTATTCCCTATTCAAATATTAATCAGATATAATATTGTTTAAGTTCTTAAAATAAATCAAGATGCTAAATGCTGTCTCCTCCATAGGAATATAAATCTACTAACTCAATAACCTTCAGGTAAGTCTTTCTTTTAAGCATTTATATCATGCACCTCATAATACGTCTAACTGTTTATATGTCAAAGATCAAATTGTTTCAGGGGTAGGCCAAGTTGATGTCTTCCAAACCTTTGGGACTTCAGTTCAACCAATTCCAGACAGCTGGTTGATGTCAAGGGACTTTGTTAGTTTCTGGATGACACCCAATTGTAAACTACATGGTATGTGTCAGAACCGATTTCTATCTATCTTCTCTGATCTAATAACAAATCTCACTTTTCCCTGGGTTCTGCCATACTCCCAAGGGGGAGGGGGGATATGCCTGCGGAGTTATTGCTTTCGCTTCCTCTATTCACTACAATGTAACCTTTTGTTTTGTTTATTGCTTCTGTGTCTGCTACAATGTAACAATTTGCTTCCTACACTGCATTTCTCTCTGAACTTTCTTCTCCCTAATCTGTCAGCTAGGAAAAGGGGGAGAGAGAGAAATACAACCTCTGAAGCCTGGCTTATTTCTCTGGTCTCAAAATGAGGTGCAAAAAACTGCTCGAATATCATGCTACAACCGAAGCCAGACCGATGTTATCTGCCCTTTCCCACGATGGACTTAACACCTGGGGATTGGCCGGTCTGAACCATCTGGATGAACTGTGGGGTGGGGTTTGCTTGGGGACACATTAAAGTGTTGATCTGTAAAGGAATCCCTCAGATCCTGTCTATTATGCCTGCTATCAACTACTTTTAATAAAAGTTCCTGTTGGAGGAAACAGTCTCCAAGAGTTCTGCTTTCTTAAGATAGGAGATTGAAGTGGGTCCTTACAGTATATTTACAATTAAATCAAAATTACAATTAAAAGCAATTTAATTAAATGCGGATTAGGAGACAATTTAGATTTATTTTTTGTCATACACCTTCCTCACAGGAGTGGAAGAGAAAGAGTATGAGATTGGGGGGGGGGAGAACAACGAAATTATACAGATGGAAATATAATTTTGTTAAAAATAAAAGATTGATTAATTAAAATTTTGAATACTGATACTTTTTATAAAGACATAAAAGTTTTGCTCCTTTAAAAATGTGTTTTAAGACATGCTATTATTTTGATAACCCTGCCACAAAAAAAAAATCTTACAATATACAATCAGTACCCTTAAATGATTCAGTGAAAACTCTTAATGAAGCTTTCAAAATCTTTATGGAATATAGCTAACTTTTCTACTTGTCAAATCTATGGAATGGAAATGACTACTTAAATAAGATATAAAGTATGGCAATTTTATACAGGCATAAAAACATCAAAGATCATAACTTCATCTCACTACACCTAACCATTTCAGTCATTCAAATTCATGTTCTTTTTAGTAATCTATTACAATGTGGGTATATACACAATCTCAATATGTAGAACTCGATAAGCGACAATTTTAGACAAGAAACTGCTTTCAAACTGTAACATAAAAAGAAAATGAAGAAAACAGTCTTAGCTTTAAACAAGCCATTAACTCACCTGATAGGGTACAATACTCGCATGTGCAGTGCCCCATCGTATGGATTCTGTTCTGCAGTTTAAAAAATTGCTTGCTATATAAGTAAGGCAGGCAACCTGCAAAGATTTGAAATAGCACAAATGTCAAATTCTGAGATTATAGACATAAACATGGGTGTGTATATTCAACAAATTTAGTATTATTAATTCATAACTGTATTTATTACCCCACAAATCTCAGCCTTCAACAGTGTCTTAGAATAATAGCTGATTACTGAAAAAATCAACAGTTGGCAATTAGTTACCAAAAAAAAAAAAACTAAAGTAATGGTCTTTGTAAAAAGCATAAAAGTATAAGTAAAACATTTCAGGAAATAAAAGTGAACAAGATAAAGCAACAAATATATAAGGATGGTCCTCCATGCTACTGGCTTTTGGAAAACTCATATAGATTCATGAAACAATTAGCACTCATAGAAATATTGAGTTTTTTCATGCCCAATGCAATGAATGGAAAAAGAATTGAAACTGTCAGAGCAAAAGTTATGACTCAAATATTGGTAGCTTTCATTTAGCAACCATAATTGATATCAGCACCTCACTCTTAGAGAACTAGTCGCTAAGTGGAAAATCACATGACCACAATTGTGCTTTCTTTTTCCCCCACTCCTATATCCTTTGGCAGCTCATCCTGGCACTGGGATAATTAGCAAAAAGGAAATTTTTTGTATTTATAATCATTGGCAAGAAAGGGATTGCAAGATAGTGAGCAGGTACAAAATAGGGAAGATACTTCAAAACCAATATGCTGATGCCAGCAGCCCTAAAAGTCCTATGTACACAGTTATGTGAATTCTCTGTTGTGTGCTTATTATCCTGTAAACTCTCTCTCTCCAATCTCTCTGATATATGAGTGGGGGGGGGGAATCTCAGTTTCTATAGGCAGTCTCTTCTGTGCCTGATTCTTATACCAAATAGCTCTCAAGTAAATTTTTAACCATGCTGATATTCCCTATTCAGCAACAAGCATTTATCAGAACCTGACAAGTTTTTATCTGCTGCAAGTTAGCCAAAATTCCTTTATCCAGAAGCCCTTTCCCTGTGATTCATATTCAAAACTAGGCAGCAACTATTCAACACTGAACAACCACACCGAAACAACAACTAGTGTAAGAATATTTGGAAAATATCTCTGTTTTCTTAGTTTTTCATTAGCAATTTAATTATCTATATTATAAATCAGAATGTTTATATTTGACAGGTATTTATGAAGGTACAAAAGAATGCAAACAAAATCTAATCTCTAGCAACAATCCTTAAGATTAGTTTCACTCATTACCAGATAACTTTATTGTGCTAAAGAACAAAAAATATCCATAAGAAATGTAACTGAAATATAATTTTCAAACATTTATTAAATCAAATCAAATCAAATTAAATTAAATGACCACCCATATCCTATATATGATTCTGGCTGGCTACAATTAATAAAATAAAAAATTGAGAAAATTTTCAAAACAACAAAAATGACATAAAAATAGTAGCCAAGAAGATTAGTAAACACTAAAGCAAGTCATGACATCGCTTCACCCATATTATCAGAGGCAAAGCTAGGTTTACATGACTTGTGAAACACCAGCAAGAGGGATGAGGTTCCAGAGAATGGGCTCCATGGTTAGGTTTTCCTTCTGGTCCCACCAGGTGACACTCTCTTGCTGACAGAATCTAGAGCATAGAAAACAATTTTATTGTCTAAGCTCTTGAAATCATCTACCATAAACAGCTTATCTCTTAATTCAAATGGAAAGTGGAACAGTGGAAGATACAGTGAATAATGTTCTCCACCTGACTGACACTATGAGGACAGAGATGCTGTTCAACAAGGCACTTACAAATTTTCCTTCAAGGTTTACTAAAGGCATACTCTGCAAGCAAAAGGATATAACCCCTTCTTCAGTGAGACATTGGTAATATTAATTATTAGATACTGGGAGAGGATTCTCTGTTTTTTATGATGATTAAGCCAAGATAAAAATTTGGATTACTACTACATTGGCATATATATATATATATATATATATATATATATATATATATATATAATAATATTATATATATATAATATATATATATATATATATATATATATATGTTTTCTGAGGTTTTCCTGCTTCGTGCTTCGAGCAAGCCAATGTGTGGTCTAGCTGTTTTCTTCCTTTTAACTGCCAGTGGGGTATGAACTGATTGGGTGGGAGCTTGGCTGTGTCTGATTGGGTGGAGGTGTGTTCTGATTGGTTAGGGGCTTGGCTGTGCTCTGATTGGCTGGGGGGTTGGCTGTGCTCTGATTGGCTGGGGGTTGGCTGTGCTCTGATTGGCTGGGGGAGTGTTCTGTTTGGTTGTGCTCAGGTTAGTCTGAGTTGCAGAGGGATTCAAGATTTTGGGCTGCCCTGCCATTCCTTGGCTTCGCGTTCGTGGTCGTGCTTCCTCTTCATGGAGGGTGTCAGTTTGCTTCATGTATGGATTGGAGGGTTTAAAGTGGCTAATGATGCAGCTGTGGTCTGGCTTCTGGTTTGTGGTCGTGCCTCATCATCGGTGTGGCTTTGGGTTTGTTTTTTGCGTGGATGTGTGGTGGTGACATCCTGTGTGGTTTTTGTGAGTGTGGGTCTGGTATCATTTTTTGTGTTAGGGAGTCGTTTGTTCAATAAGGGCGGGTTTCCAAATGGCTGGTAGGCGGGAGGTATCATCTCGCTTGTTCATGCTGTGGGGCGTTTTTCTATCTCGATGGCTTCTCTGATTATTCTGTTATTAAAATGTTCACTTTGGGCAATGGTTCTGGTATTTTTAAAGTCAATTTCATGTCCTGTGGCTTTAAGGTGTTGGACCAGGGAAGATGTTGGTTCCTCTTTTTTGACTGAGTTCTTATGTTCTTCAATGCGTGCACTTATTCTTCTGTTGGTTTGTCCGATGTATGTGGTGGGACAAGTGGTGCATGGGATTTCGTATACTCCTTGATTTTCTAATTCAATTTTATCTTTGGGGTTTCTAAGGATGGTGGATATTTTTCTGTTTGTGCAGAATGCTGTTTTGATGTTGTGTTTATGAAGGATCTTACTGATTCTGTCTGTGGTGCCTTTTATGTATGGGAGGAGGGCTTTGCCGTTTTCTTGTTCTTTGTCTTGGATTTTAGTGGGGGTTTCTTTTTGGATTAGGTTTGTAATCTTATTTCTTTGGAATCCATTGGATGTTAGTACATTGGTGAGAGTGTGTAGTTCGGTTTTTAGGTGTTGTTCGTCAGCTAAGCGTTTTGTTCTGGAGATGAGTGTCTTGGCTACGAGTTGATCTGTGCTGGGTGGTGGTGTGAGAGAGCGTGCAGATAGCGGTTTGTGTGTGTTTTCTTCTGGTAGATGGTGTGTCCTAGGGAGCCATTGGATTTCTTGTAGACTAAGACATCCAGGAAGGGAAGTTGGTTGTTAGCTTCTGTTTCCATGGTGAACTGTATTTTGGGTTGTAGGCTGTTGAGGTGTGTGAGGAAGTTGTCCAGTTTTTCTTTCCCATGTGGCCAGATTATGAAGGTGTCGTCTACATATCTGAGCCAGAGTTTGGGTTTGTGATCCGATTTTTCTAGAGCTTGGGTTTCAAAGTGTTCCATGTAGAGGTTGGCAATGACAGGTGAGAGGGGTGATCCAATGGGTGCTCCTTCTGTTTGTTTGTATTTTTGTCCGTTATAGATGAAGTATGTGTTGGATAGGCAGTGGTTGGTCAGATCTAAGATGTGTTTGGGGGGTTATATTTGTTTTGAATAGCTGTCAAGGCTTCTTTGATAGGCACTTGGGTGAAGAGGGATATGACATCGAAGCTCACTAGTAGGTTGCTGGGCTGTAAGTTTTGTTTCTTTATGATCTCTATAAACTGGAATGAGTTTTTTACATGTGAGGTGATGGATTCTGCATAGGGCTGTAATTGTTTGGCGAGAAATTTGGCTAGGTTTTGTAGAGGTGAACCTATGGAGCTGACTATAGGTCTGAGTGGGGTTCCTTCTTTGTGTATCTTGGGGAGACCATAGAGTTTGGGGCATCTGGATGATTTCTCTCTGGGAATGATTCTTTGCTGGATCTCTTCGCTAATGGGGGAGGCTTTTATTTTGGATCTGGTGGTTTTTTTCCAGGTAGGTGGTGGGATCTGTATTTAGGGGTTTGTATGTGGAGTCTTGGAGTAGGTTGGTTAATTTGGTTTGGTAGTCAGATGTGTTCATAACCACCGTGGCGTTGCCCTTGACTGCTGGTAGGATTATTATGCTGGTGTCTTCTTTCAGGTTACGTAGTGCTGTCTGTTCCTCTTTGGGTAAGTTGCTTTTGGGTGGCTTGCTGGTGCAGAGGATGTTGGTGATTTCGAGTCTGATTTTGTTAGCGTCGTTGGGGTTGATTTTGGTCAGGCTGTTTCAACTCCACATATACTGGTTTCAGTGGGGATGTGTTTGGGAGCAAAGTTGAATCCTTTGGAAAGGACATTGATTTCGGCTTTGGTGAGAATCCTATCTGAGATGTTATGCACTGTTTGTTTCATGTGTGGATGTGAGGGAGGAGGGGTTTGTTTCTGGTGTTCTTGTAGTCTTCGGAGTTTGTTGGTGTGTGGTATCATGTCCTGAGGTGGTGTCTGTGTTTCGAGCTCTCAGATGGAAGTGTTTGTTTTGGATTTGTCCAAATGCGGGGTGGATTCTTGTGTGCTGAGTTTTGAGTGGAGTGTGAGGCTATCTTTGTATACTTGGTTCTAGAGGAATCTTTGGTGAGATTCTTTCCCCCCCCCCCTGATTAGGGCAATCTGTTCTTTTCAGAGCCGTTTGGTGGCTGCAGAGTTGAGTGGAATTTCAGTTGTGAAACATGTGGGTTAGATTTTGATCTCGGCAGTTGCTTAGGATCGCGAGGTCGCATAAAATGGAAGCTCTTTGGGACTTCAATTTTTCATAGGTCCTGGTCAGATTGTGGATTTCTCCCCGTAGAGGTTTCGATATTTGTTTTTCTGAGGTTTTTGCGGGTATTTGTATGTAGGTCTTTGGGTATTCGGGTTTTCTCCCGCGTAAAATTGGAAGTGTCTTGGCGACGTTTCGACGAAGTCCCATT